TATAGAGATCAAAGGCCAGGAATAATCAAGATAATTTTGAACAAGAACAAGGACTTGGGCCTATTAAATATCAGCAGTTACTCTTCCTACAAAATAATTGAGTGTAATATGGTGCAGGGACACAAAAATATACCAACAGAATATACTAGAAATATCAGAAACATATTTATAGGTATGTACATTTGATATATGATAACAGCTATATTGTAAATCAATAGGGAAAGGAATTAAGCCATAAAATGTTTTGGACAAATAGTTATCTTTATGGAAAGTAGATAAAATTGAATTGATTCCTTATATAATTCACAAGGATTATTTCTAGTTGGAGTAAAGTGTAGGAATTTCTTAAACAAGAAAGCACCAATTAAAAGGAAAATGTTGGTACATTTCATTATATTTTATAAGAATATTTCTATAAAACAAAAAGACATCATAAACAGTTAAAAGCCAGACACAGCCTCAAAATTCTTGAATTCAAATTCTTGAATACGTATTTTCAATGCATGTAACAAATTAGTATCAGTTTCCAATATATAAGAAGACCTACAAACCAATGAGAAATAGACAGACAATCCATTAGGAAAATGGCCAAACGGTAATGCAGAAAAGAACTCTAGATGCTCAATAATTGAATGAGATAAGATGTGCAAACTCAGTAATAATTCAAACAGTCAAAGATTAACAAGGGTGATCACGAAAGTGATGGCAAGGACAAAGGAACCATAACTTTCACACACTTCTGGCAAGAGTGTAATTTGGGACAACCATCTTTGAGATGATTTGTCAATATTAAAGCAACTTCAAATGTATATACTCTCTGATCCTGCAATTCCAGTCCTAGCTAAATAAGGGAGAAACTGTATCTCATGGACCAAGGGAGCTATGTATTTATAAGAATGTTCAGAGCATGATTGCAACAGAATAAAAGGAAACAACTACTCATCTATCAATGGGACAATGAATATTTTACATTATATCTTTACATAGGAATGCCTAACGGTAGTTTAAGTAAATGATATAGAGCTAAACTTATCCAAAAAAAAAAAAAATGAGTTTAGCGAACAAAGCAAATTTGCAAAAACAACCATCTCTATAGTATGGTATTTGCTAACTTTCAAACACTTGGAAAGCTAGTCTATACATTTTTTATAGATGTGTAATGTTGTAGTAAAAATGTCAACATGAATGTAAAATGATCAGCAACGCATCCTTGAAAGTGCTTTATGATGGAAAACAAGGGAGGAGAATGAGATTAGGGAAATTTTTAGAAGAACTTCAGTTACATCTATTGATTTAATTAAAAAACGGAAATAGGGCATAATGTTAAAATTTCATAAAATTGGGTGATGCGAACACATGTGTTTAATCATTGTTTTGTGTTCTTTTCTGTGTCTTTGAAATATTTCACAATAAAATAAAAGGTATTATATATCATATAAATCTTTGTGATGTATAGCGTTGACAATAAAGCAGTATTATTTATATGATACTATTTATTATATTAATGACCAATGTAGAAGAAACTATTCAGCAAGCCAGGATAAAAAAAAAAAAAACCATCTTCTGGATCTTTTTACTGACCCCAACCCCTTCACAGACATTTACATAATGCCAAACACAGACAAAAGGTTGGAGATACATACAACATCCACACAAACACACACACAGACACACACACCGAAAACTTTTTTTGTAAAGATGAGCATAAGTTGAAAGATACAGGTGGTCAAATCACAGAGCCCAGGTTACACGACGTGTTTGAATTTGTGCTTTGTTGGGAACATCTTCGTTTGAATCCTCGGAGTGCTCATGGACAATGCCACTAGGCCTTGCAGTGCATTCTGGTAGCGAAATAACTTTTATGGAACTCCCAGATTCCTTACATTTTATGCCAGATTGATGAGTGTCCAAGCAGGAACAGCTATGGGACTGCTCGTACTGTAGGAGAGAGAGGATTCCTGAGGAAAAGAGATGCCAGAGGGTAGGATGAAGGAATAATGGAGAGTCACAGAAATGTTTCCCTCCATGTTGGCCGAAGACGGTGACCCAAAACCTAGTGGATTCCTTTCAAACTACCCAAAGCCACCTGGGAGGGGAATGCTTTAGGGTAAAAAACTCAGTGTGTTTACATGCTGCTCAGCTCAGGAAAATTGAGGATTCTTTTTGAAAGAGAACATGTTTCTGTATGGGTTAGGAAGTGCAATTACAAATGAAATTTTAAAGACTTCTTAGGAAGGGAGGGTCTCTGGCGTTTGTAGGTGGTCATATAGCATCAGATATTGTTTCTCACTACTCTCAAACTGCCTTGGCTTTACCTTGTACCAGGGTCACTGCCCTTATCCTCATAATTGAGCATTCTGTCTCAGCCACTCTCCTTTGATTGTGACTTTGATGGTTACCTCGGCCCTAAGGTGGGAGGGTGTGAAAGACATAAGAAAAGGTGGAGATGAGGACCTGGCCTCTGATACGCAGGTATCTCACGCCAGCGCCAGCTCTCTCCTTGGAGGAACTGTCCTTAGAGAATGAGTCCAGGTGAGCTGTAGCCTATTAAAACGCAAGGTTTAGCACCTTTTCCTCCATTCCTCTGTCCTGTCCTTTTACCCTTCCCTCTGACGCGGGTAGATTGATTCTTAACGTCCTTCAAGGGCCCTGGAGATACTCACCACAAACAAAAAGAAAGAAAATGTTTATGTGGCCAGTGAAACTGATCCAGCTGATTCTGTAACTAAAGAGGTACAGGGATTGACCTTGCCTCAGCTTCAGGTAGTACAGTAGGAGTACACAAAACAGAAGGATACCTGACGAACAGACAAAAGGAGAAAAGAGTCCCTTCTGGGGAACTTAGGCTCCTTTACTCAAGTATTCATCCAAAGTACACTTGACTTCCCAACCTCCACGCCGTGCAGCTGCTCCCTATCCGAAGACCGATCCTGTCTTTAGTGGTAGATCTAATTCAGAAGCGGCATGTATCTATCTATAGCTGTCTATGTCTACATCTATCTGTCTATCTACCTACATCTCAGTCAGAGAACTGGAAAGGCCAGTTAGCCAGACAGTGCAGCCTGGACCCACAAACCAAGTACACCTCCCCACCTATGTCAGGGGAGCCAGGAAATTACCTGAGAGGAAACTGAGGCTGGCAGTGATGAGGTGGATGTATCTATTTTGCGGAATTATGTAGGTGGATTCCAAACCGAAAGTCAAGTTAAGGATGAAGGGGAGGTTGAGGATCAAAATCATCATAATCCTGATGATCTCCAGGCCATCTGTCGGAAAGCAGAAGCTGCATTGAGAGAAGGACAGATATTTCTTCTAGGCTCATTTCTACCTGGAGTCCACAAATATTTAGGTAAAAATGGGAATAGGGTGAAAAATTTGATCAAATAGTAAAGAGGGAAGGTGAAAAAGATTAAAGAGTTAGGGAACCTTAAGCTGAATGAGAGAACGAGAAGAAACTGTTCTCTATCTTGGTGTCTGTAAAAGCTTCTGTTTTCTTCTTTTCTTTTCTCAGAGCTCATTTCTTGTTAAATATGCCAACTCACCCTGTCCTCTTCTAGTGACATTTACTAGCTGCCAGTGACCTTTCTTTCATGCCCCTCATGTTCTAGCTGTGCTGACCGCCGTGCTGCTACTGCCAGGACTTCTCAGATGTCTAGCAGCTAAGTCCGTGAGCATGTAAATTTTTCTCCCAGACGTCCAAATAGCGAGATTTTGGAGTCTGCCGTGACTGTGTTTTTTATGGAAGTGGGCACACTGCAGCTTGAGGAAGTTGTATCAGGGAATAATAGGCAAGCTGGTGAGAGATGAGTGAATGTCCAGGAAAGAGGAATCCTTTCCCTCCACCCGTCGCTTTCTACGGTATAGTTCTGACCTTCTGGCCAAACCTTAGTGCAACACACCATCCATGGACTGTGGCTCATCTTGGTACTTTTTTCTTTCTGAAGTCAATTCAACCCATTCATCTACGATGATTCCTGCTATCAACAGGACTATGTTCCAGGAGGAGAAGAGTATTTTCATGGCCTGAATATTTCTTTTTGATAAATGCATTATTGTGGATGGTGATTTCTAGCTGAGACCACCACTAATATCTTCCGTCTCTTCTCTGATTTGATTAGTCACAGGAAGAAGAGAAAAATGTGGAATTTTAGTGATTGCTGAGACATGGGCAGTGGCAGAAGCTGAAGTAGCCTATGGAACAGAGGAGATAACCCCACCCTTCGCCGCTCCTATATCACTGGGGCCAGCCTGCTGTCATTACTCCCAACTGCCATGGAATCGTCTGTTGGTTTGACTGTTGACCCTGGGGCCTAATGCAATGAAAGAAGGTTTTAGAAGCCTTAAAAGAAGTTGGACATGCATGACTAAAGAGGTCCAATTTTTAAGTTAGAATTATATGCTTCAGGATTAGTTGACATTTGGTAGGTGGCAGTGAAGAGGAAAAGGATTTCAAGATTATTGAGATGAATTGTCAGCTAGCTGGCATCAC